AATATCTTGATTTAGAATTAGTGACTTCCCACGCACTGTCTAGTGCATGACCTTTTGTAAGTGAGTCACCTTTTGGGTCAGTAAAATACCCATACTTGTTCAGCTGGCTTTAGTTTTGATTTTTTGGGGGGCAGGGAAGGAGGCAATTTTTTTAAATTTCTCATAGCTGCGAGCAGCACCAGAGAGTCTTGCAGACAAGATGTGGCCTATGAGCTACTGACTATAATCCACTTTTTTCAAGGGAATGACGGTAAGAATGGGAATCCTAGGTCTAGCCTCTTTTCCTGATTCTGACAATGTTCCGTTCTGTGCCTCCACTTTCCTCTTTGTACTGTAAAGATAATATTTATTTTCCTCTTTTACACTAAGGGAATATAACTATTTGATCGCAAAACAGTTGAAGTGTTGAGCTGTTACTCAAAACACTGAATCATTATTTGCAGAGTCAGTTTATGGCCTCGAAGTTGTGGTCACATGTCCTGTTATCTGCAGCTGGACCAGTGTAAAAGCTGAACACCCCAGCTGTTCACTGCTAGTGGCATAATTGCTCTCTAGACCTTTCCTCTCAGGATGACCAGAGTTAACTTGCACATATTTAGCAGGAGGATTTTTCTAACCTGGCTTGTTTAGAGAGAACCTGACTAGTACACATGTAGTTACACTAGCAAACTGGTGGGGGTATGTGGTGGAGCAGAGAAGAGCTGGCAAAGTTACCTTTTCACTCAGCTCAGCTGGAACCAAACCAGGGCTGGAGGCTTAGTCACAGTTGAGCTGTTCTTTACAGCAAAACTTCACCCAAATCAATAAAGCCACTAATCACATCTCTCTGAGTAGCAGGTGCAGAATCTGACCCAAAACAGCTACTGTTGTTGACAGAATAATTTCTTGTCACGTGAAGACTGTTCTTGCGTTGGCTGTTCCCAGACAAAACGTACAGACTCACTAATGGCTCCACACCAAATACAGGAACTTAGTTCCTTTAGATAGGTACCAGATAAACAAGCCTAGAAACTGAAGCAGTCTGGATGCTCGTGGAGCACACACAATCCAGAAAGTTTCCCTACGCAGTAAGGTTTTTTTGAGGATCACTTCTAAAGATAAGAGAACAACTCCTACCCTGAAACATTAATCCTGTGAGCAACCCGATGACACTGCTGACCAAACTGTCACTCACTGACATGTCAGAGATAGTTATCTTCACTAGAAACTAGGTTTATGGCACAGAGGTCAGAGAAAGCTTGCCAGGTCTTAATGCCTTTCAGCCATTACTGGCAATGGTGTGACTGTGCCCAAACGTGAAGGGTGGTGCATCGCATTACCTCTGCTGGCTTCAAGGTTCCTTTGCTTCCCGTGCTCCATTAATGCATCCACTGAACAAAGCAACAAATACTGCATTTTTCTTTGCCCACTGCTTTTTAATTTGCTATTTAGAAACGCTGTTAGTCAAGATGAGGATGTTACAAATAATCTGACCCACCTTGCAGCTCTAATACACAACTAAGGAGAGGCAATGTTTCTTGACTGGAGCAAATGGTGAGGTTTTTACCAAAAGTTACTGAGAAAAAAGCTTTTTTTTTTTTTTGGTGGGAAGAAGGATTTCTTTATGGATCTTAAGCAGAAAAGAAAATATCTGGCAATAGTAAAATACTCACTTTTGAGTGGATACATCTACCCTAAGATTCTAAGGTTTCCTTTTTTTTTTCCCCGCTCCAAAAAAACTCGGTTTAGGGAAAATGTTAAAATGTTTTAACACTTCCATCATGATTCAGGGGAAATTCAGCACAGATTGATGTCTCAGACCTTCCCAAGGCAGGAAACACCAATTTTGTACCAGTTTTACAAATCTTTTGCACTGCAGTTAATCCGTGAACACTGGAACTTGAACCAGGATTAAGTATTCTGGAATCTGCCACAAGCATTCCCTTTCTCTGTTCTGGTACTTCTCTTAGTCCTTAGAGAAGAGACTTAGGGTACAGAGTCTGTATGTTCCAAATAACTTCTGTCTTTCTGAGCAAGTGTTTCCAAAGCTACGAACTTTCCTCCCTGCTCCCCATAGCCCCCCAGTAGTGAAATCCAGCATAAAATATTTTTATTAGAGACAAACAAGCTAGTTTACTGGTTTATGCTTCTCCAACTACAGCATTATAGCAAATTTAAACCTTTTCCTAGAGGTATATGTTTGTATATTTGATGTATAATGAGTATGTATGAATGCATGGTAAAATTACCACCATTGACTGGACTAGGTTATAACTTAGACAGGTTTGAACAGAGAAGTTAAAAAGAACTATATGTCCAGATTGAGAGTCAGATGTTCTTGAATTCACTGCATGATAGCTTACCAACAATCCCATAGTTCTGCAATATTCTCAATGATTTCTTTTGGTATTTGATATTTTTGGTTCTCCTATAGGAGGCTAATGACTTTTCATTGGAAGCTTTTTGTATACAAAAGCTGAGTTTGAAAGCCTCAAACAATTCTGTGAAGAGTTCCGATTCTACAATAACAAGCTTCATGGAACAACACCTTGTGCTCAAAGGAGACGCTAGCTGTAGTTCTTAACTGTATGCACTTCTACTGTGCTTGTGTTACTACACATTTCCTTTTGAAGTTCCCTGCATGCCCCTTTTCTCCTTTAAAGATAGTGTGATAGAGTTACTTTTAAAGTGAGACTTTTTTATTATCATAATTTGATTAATTTTTCTAAGATTTCTCTTCATATGTGTTTTACTAAGCAGTTTCCCTTCCTGCCATATACTGAGCTTCCTAGCTTTAATGGCAGCAAAATGTATTTTTTTCCCATAGAAGGCTGTGGAATCTCCATCCTTGGGAGCTATTCAAAAGCTATTCAAAACACGGTCCTTGGCAACCTGCTCTAGGTGGCCCTGCTTGAGCAAGAGGGCTGGAGAAGATGACCTCCCTTCCAAACTCGACCAGTCTGTGATTCTTTGAAATCACAAAGTTGAACTTGCAGGCTCAAGTACACCTATCACAGGTCTTCACTCACGCACTAACACAATTCACAGCCCAGTGCTGACAAAGTCAGTATGTGGCAAGACTGTTAACAGCTGCCCTTAACTTTCATGATAATTGTTCTCCTTTAACTGACATAATATTCAATATACTGTTGTTGAATGTAGTAATGGCAAAATTCATGCCTTAAGGGCTACAATGTGATTGAGTTTCAGCCAGATAAACTGAAACCTGACCTAGTGGTGTATTACAGGCCTTTACACCACTCAGATGCATAGGTCACAATCTCACTCTGTATAAACCTCTACGTAATTATATTACAAGCCATTATTGCATATATTAAGATCATTCCAACAGATAATTAAAACAAAATCAATACGAGCCTGATTCTACAACCTTTAAAACAAGAAAACTACAGATTTCAGTCAGTCATCTTGGCTGCAAGGGACACTGAATTACACTCTATGCGTGTAATATATTATACCAAACTACTAATCACCTCTAGTAACAGCAATTTTCTAATGTTAGATCTCCAAAAGGATGCATTTTTTAAAGTGTATTCCTTTGCAAATCATATTTCGTCAGCTCTCTTAACCAGTAGCATTCAGAATCCAAGAATCTAAGATAGGATGCAATATGCACATAATGCCATTACAGTACATATCTCTATAGATATCTAAATTACATATCATATCTAATATCTATAAATACTGATCCATACATCCAAACATCTATAGATATCTATTGCATAAATATCATGGATATATACTTACATGTAAGTTTTAGGCTGGTAATGGAAAAAATGGGTTCTATTGTATTTGAACATGTGTAACATTTAGCTTTTACAAAACAGAGAATCCTAAAACATTTAAAGACCTCCATTCTGTATATATCACTAAGAATAACAGGATCTGATTACTGAAGTAATAGCTTTTCTGTTACTCTTTCTCTAGGACTGTTCTACAATTTAGAACACCTGTCTGCAAAAATCTGTGTATAGAGCATTTAAGAAAATATTTAATAACGCAGAATATGACAGTTTCCATGGAACTACATAAGGCTAATTTACTTCTTTTACGCAAAGTACAGAAAATTGAGGAAGAGTTAAAAAATACAGTCAGAATTTATCAGAGCATGAATAAAGAGTCCCATATTTACTGTATAATGCCAAGCATACTATCATTGCATAAGAACATAAAGAAATAAATCAGAAACTAGAATTTTCAAAGTTTTCCATGCATGCCCACTTCAATAACTGGATGACTTCTGGGTGATGCAGAGCTCCCACAAATCAGGAGCAATTAAGAGAAGTCAGAAGCATGTAGTATTAGATTCTCAATCAGAAATAGTCTTATAGAATATAATAATTCACTTTGGAACCTAATAGATTATTAAATTCTTCAGATAAACAACTATATTCATGACCATACTCATAAAGCAAGACTGTCCATTTCTTTGTTTACTTATTTTATGTTTTGTTTGCTTATCTTAACTAATCTGCATGTAACACTTTATTTAAAAATGGCCTTATAAACAGGATTTTCCTGTTTAGACATTACACTGTAAGGATACTTCCCAACACAACCATGATCACAACCACCATTTCATCCACCTCTCATTACATATATTGCTAAAGAAAGAAAGAAAAGATGAAGGAGCTGCTGACTTGGATCTTAGTTTCCTCAGTCAAACAGTAGTCCCTGAAAACTTGCCAGTTGCCTTTGATGACCAAATCAGGCTTGCAGCTCGCTAATCTCAGTATCTTGAGTATTTAAGGTATTTCCTACAATAAGTCTAACCAAGTACAGATAAATACTACAGTACAAAGGAACCTGCATTTTTTAGCTTAGGAAAAATTGAATATTTTATTCGCCAACACCATCATTAGTCTTCAACATGCCATACTAAATTTACTTCATATCCTTCTACCTCTTTGTGTGCACAGTCACTACCTCGGTACAAAAAAAAAAAAAATAATTAAAAATCAGTTAACTGAGTTTGAAACATGCTTTGCTTTATTTCCTACCTGAAGGATGTAACCTCGAACATAGTCTCGGAGTGTCCAGCCCAAGCCATGTAGAATATGCAACACCTCCTCTTGCTTCAGTACACTGAAGAGTCGGTCAAGAAGTATCTTCAGTCTCACAGGCACAGCCTGAGTACCATAGAGCATCAGGCTGCTGATGTCAAACACAACATTGGACTGCACAATCTCCACTTGGGTTGGGTGGTAGAGGTGCTGAGTACTAAGCTTGTCCAAGGCTGAAAGAAAAGGGGTTAAACATAAGCAAAGAGCTAAATGAAAGCCAAGAAAATAATCCCAAAGAATTATCTAAACACATTGAATTTGGCTGATGCATTTATTTTCCAGAGAAATATCACCTGGAAGACTCATAGAATCATAGAATCACAGAATGGTTTGGGTTGGAAGGGACCTTTAAAGGTCATCTAGTCCAACCCCCCTGCAATAAGCTTCAACTAGATTGGGCTGAGCAGCCTGATCGGGTTGAGCCCTGACCAACCTGACCTTGAATGTTTCCAGGGATGGAGCATGTGCTACATCTCTGGGCAACCTACTCCAGTGTTTCACCACCCTCACAGTAAAAATTTTCTTCTGTGTATCTAGTCTAAATCTACCTTCTTTTAGTTTAAAACCATTACCCCATGTCCTATGACAACAGGACCTACTAAAAAGTTTGACCCCATCTTTCTTATAAGCCCCCTTTAAGTATTGAAACACCTCAGTAAGACCTCCTCAGAGCCTTCTCTTCTCCAGCCTGTCCTCACATGGGAGGTGCTCCAGTCCTATGATAATTTTAGTGGCCCTCCTCTGGACCTGCTCCAACAGGTCCATGTCTTCCTGTGCTGAGGACTCCAGAGCTGGATGCAGAACTCCAGGTGGGGTCTCACCAGAGCGGAGTAGAGGGTGAGAATCACCTCCTTCAACCTGCTGGCTACATTTCTTTTTATGCAGCCCAAGATCTGGTTGGCTTTCTGGGTTGTGAGTGCACATTGCCAGCTCATGTCCAGCTTTTCAACCACCAGTACCCCCAAGTCCTCCTCTGCAGGGCTGCTCTCAGTCCCTCCATCCCCCAGCAAGTATTGATACTGTGGGGTGCCCTGACCCATGTGCAGGACCTTGCACCTGGCCTTGTTGAACCCCATGAGATTCACGTGGGCCCACTTCTTGAGCTTGTTCAGGTCCCTCTGAATGGCATCTCTTCCCTCAGGCGTGTCAACTGCACCACTCAGCTTGGTGTCATCTGTGAATTTGCTGAGGGTGCACTTGAACCCACTGCCTGTGTCATTAAGTTATTAAACAGTGCTGGTCCCAGTATGGACCCCTGCAGGACATCAATCATGACTGAGTGATTCTTTCTCACAGATGCAGTCCGATACAGGTCTTGTTTCCGAAGGTCACAATTAACTTTAATTCCTACACTAGAAGGGTGCTCAGCTGAGCCCCAGAGACCACAATATACAAAATTTCAAAAGAAATTACAGAAAATTTATGATTACTTGATGACCAAGACTGAGCTATGCAGAATTGATTGGGATTGTTAAAGGTTTGGGACTTAACCTCCAGGGGAAAAAAAGAAAACAGATACACCCTAAATCCCAGCCTTCTAAACATGTTAAAAATTAGTCCCCTGATTTACCATAAATTCTACCATGAATTCACTGCTGCTTCAGCTGGCTAGTTTGCTTTACACTTCTGTGTGAATTTCATGTTATTCACTGTGATGCGAATAATATAGAGATGAGGGGAGGGGAGTTTTTCAGGTTGAAGGTAATTCTTATCCCCTTGTGAAGTTAAATATGATGTAATTGCATAAGTCATCATGCACTTTACTGAGTACCAATGTTTAAATTTAATTTTCTTTCCATTTTATGGACTATGTTGCAGCACCTAAGCTTCTCACTACTTTTTTTAAACAAAACTTTCTAAGCATTTAAAATAATTTTATAGGGACTTCTCTTGTACTTTGTTTTCTTCTTGGCTCATGGTCACCGGAGAGTTCGTGTACTCTTGATAAATTGCTTTCTTACATCCAGAGCGCAAAGGCCCTTATCATTTACTGGCTGGCTTCATTCAACACGTTTACTCCAAGGAATACTTTGTCAAAGAGTTCTGGTTTCCTCATACTTCATTTCTTGCAACTGATTTGTCTGATCTTTCCTATTCTAGTGCTTAAGTCAACTTTGAATAAATAGCTTTAAATATTTATTTAACATTCAAAAAAGATAAGGAATTGGCAAGCCTAGGGACTACAGTCCTGTGTTTCTCCACAGGACATTTATACTGCAGAATGTGAAGGGTGAGATTTTTCTTCCAAAAGCTCTTCTTCTAAAGTACTTGAGCTATATAGGCTTCATGATGTGGGCCTGTTTTATTTACAAAGTCTAATTAATGGGATTTGATTGAAGATTAAACAGGTCAAATACTTTCCTACTTTATTTTTTTTTTTTTTTGCCCCTTTCGTGTACAATAGTTTTGTAACATGGTTACTTTGTTACTACCATAACATATGTGTTATCAAAGTACTCAGCTAGAAAAGCCTAGAAAATGGATTTTGTTACTGTGCAGGCTGTGCTGTTTGTATGCTGATATGTATATATGTGTACCTGGGGGGCAGAGCAATCATTTGGAAGGAGTAAAATAAAGTAAAAGAATAGTATTTTTTTAAAAAATACCACTATTACTCACAATAAGAACACTGGAAATATTATCAGTGTTAATACACGTAACACCTTCTACCAGCCTTAAAATAATTAAGCAAATTTGGATCATCTTGAGCTTTCTACCTTGTCTTACAGAATGAGAATAATGTCCAAAGAGGTTAAATGGTTTCTCCAAGTTTAAACAATTCAGACCATAGTCAAGACCTGAATTAATATTTTTGAATACTCAATGCTTTTTAATCACTGCATCATACTGTATTTCTAATATATATTAATATTTGGTTTTGGTTGTTGTTACTTAACAGTAACCCTATGCCAGCAGTGAGGCAAAGCAAGTTCTACCAGATAAAGAAGCCTTGGCTTGCTGAAGATTTTAAGGTCATGCTTCTACTCTGGCCCAAGTCAGAATGACTGTAAGATGCCTTTATCTAAAGACTATTGGGTGGATTATAAAACTAATAGGTAGAATGAGATTACAAAACTCTGTGGACTTTGTGTAATGTGACCACTCTGATGATAATAGCTTCGAAAAGGTTGAGATGGAACAGAAGTGAAAAAATAAATAAAAAGGGTCCTTTTAAATTACTAAGCACACTCTTTGACCAGCAGACAGAATTTTTCCTAAGATACCTTGTGCTATTCCACTTATCTGCAACATTTATTTTCAAGCAATATCACCTACAGACATCCGTTTCTCAGCATAAACACACACACAATAAGAGTTAGTCTGGTGCTGGATTAATTTTCCAAGTGACAGTGAAATTATCTCAAATTTTGATTTGTGGCCTTATTCTTCACGTTATATAATAAACAAATAAGCAGTGATTTTTATCCTTTTGAAGTACAAGTCAACATTTGCACTGAAAGCATATATTTTTGCATGGGTGTGTAAGAACATTTGCAAACTAAAGACAGATATGCTACAGACAAAACAAAAACCAAAAAACAAAAACCAAGAAAGTTGCACATGAAGAGAAAGAAAATGCACTTGAACCCATATGAGAAATAATAGCATGGTAAGCATCTGAAATTCTTTCAAATCACTGACTATTGAAACCCCTTGCAGTTGGCAGGAGAATTAAACTTTTCATTATAATTTGTAATTTATAAAAATTATCTTTTTTCTTTAAAAGAGATTGCTAAGGAAACAGCTGACAGGGAGAAGTTGCTTTCTGTAGTACTTCTAAATGATTTCTCCTCTGGTATCATTAATTAACTAATGCTGGTGTTCTAGGTGTATTCAAGAGGCCATTTATGTTGTTAGACACATACTTTTCCAAATAAGAGATAGAAGAAGGACCTAAGTCTCCTTGTTTTTGTTTTTGTTTTTTTTTCTATAAGGATAAGAGTATTAACTTTAGCCTTTTTGCCAGACCTCAGAGTAGACAGTTGTATTCTGCTGTCCTGAATTGCCCATTTCATGTGGATAATACATTCCTCACCATTTTCTGTTCTAAACTACTCGTTCAATTTCTATATGCTAGTGAACAATGCTGTGTTTCACAAATGAATACATTCAACAGTACCTGTGGCAGTGTATGATTTCATAAGTGCTTACGAGACTTCAAGATGAAACATGCTATATAAAAAAAAGAGCTTTATTATACCTGAAAAATGACATAAACAGATGTGTCCTTATTAAGAAGATATCAGTGACTGAACATCATAAACCACACATTGAGTCCCTTCCTGGTGCAGCATGAGGTATTACTGAAGCTTCTTACACTTTCAGTGAGCTCAAAAGTTCACCCAGAAAAGTCAACATGTTTGTGCCTCTTTTGTCGTAACCTGCACAATGTTTTCCACAATCAGCTATCATGGGTTCAGCCAGGTGCTTAACTAAGAAGGCCACCTTTTAACAGCCCAATTCAATTCTTAGCACTGCACCAATAGTCTGATATTCTTCACCTCCATGTGTGCAGTAAAGCTGTGCACTGACAGAGGAAGAAAAGATCTAAAGGATTTTAAAATCACATACTTGCTGAGTAATCAAATTTTTTGTGGAACAGCCTAAAAATGCCTTTGTGTTTTACTATGACAACATACACCATAGTAATATTTCTGTGGTGAATTATAAATTTTAAGTACTTGTTTAAGAAATTTTAACTATTAAAAACTATTAAAAAAGAGGGGCAAAAAAGGTTGATGAAGAAGTAGAGGTTACAGAATATTCCCTTCAACACCCAAATATGACTAATTGGATAATTAGTACAGGAATTAGGAACATTTCAGTACTGGTTTTCTTACCTAACTCTGAGGTATCAAGTATGCATCATAATCATGTATAGAATTTAGAATATTAGACCTACATCTAGTCCAACTGCCTGACCACTTCAGGGTCGATCAGGAGTTAAAGCTTATTATTGATGCCTCTTAAACACTGACAGCCATGGACCATCAACCACCTCTCCAAGAGCCTGTTCCAGTGTTTGACCACCCTTCCAGTAAAGAAATGCTTCCTAATATTAAGCCTGAACTTCCCCATGTTGGCTTATCCACTCTTTACCGTCCTGAAGAGTAAACAACATCCCCTAGATTTTACAGAGACTCTGCTGATTGCAATACAGATTTGAATTGTA